CAAAAAACCAAAAAAAAAAAAAAAAATTGAGTAAGCTATTTCTCCAGCTTGCTCATGATGAGAGTGTAAACTTCCACCCCAAACTATGGTGCCAAGAAGGTTTCAACAGAACCAGATTCTCAGTATTTTTCTGGACATCTCATGTTACCAGGTTTGGTGATGCTGGATTCCATGTCTAGAGGTGGTTTCTAGGTTCTTTCTGACCTAAACAAATAGTTGGCCAAGATAAGCACAAAAGGTAGTGATGTTTTACGTTTATTAAAGGTATAAAATGTGGGGGACTGCCTTATTGATTATGCCCAAAGCAGGCTGTAAGCAGTACAGGCTATAAAGAGTTAATCCTGAAATTGGCTCATTTTAAGAAGTGAGTCTAACCAAAGCTTATATGACTTACAGAAGCACCTCGTAAAGCATCATAGTAGTATGCAGGTTAGCATGACACCCCTGCTAACAGCCACAGCAGACACCAGATAAATGGTCTGTGAAGCTGTGGAGCTCAATATGAGATTATATAGCAGCTGAGGTTGGAGTAAGTTGCACCAAAATTCCCATGACTAAATCCTTCTTAACTAGAAGGACAAGGTTCTAATTAAAACTCTATATTTTGTCTATTTTATCCCTAATTCAAGAAAAATATGAGAAAATGAAAATATGGAAACAAAGTTTTTGTAAATAGGGAAGGGTGGAGGGGGTGGAGGGAGAGCAGGGATATGGGGAAAAAATGAGAACCAAGACTTGTCATGTAAAGGCACAAGATCCCAATGATGAATGTAACTGTACTGTATACCTAAAAAGTACCAATAAACTCAATGATAAAAAGAAAAAAAGAATGCTTTGTCTTTTCCTCTATAAGCCTTACCTGCACTAGTATCCATAGGAATTGCACAACTGCACATCCTTGGATGTAGTTCTCCTTTACCCTTATCTGACTACCAATAAAAATCAGTGGCTTGACTAGCCAGGGCCTTTTTTCATTGCTCAGATCTGGCTGTCCTGGCTCTCTAATTTTTTTTTGTTTTTGACCTTTCATTGTACACTGAGCAAGGGACTAGAACCTACTGCTGAGGTCTTTGGTAATGAAAAAGAAAGAAACATGCCCTACAGGTGACTATGGGCCAACTAAAAATAGAAAAAGAAGTATACTCTGCAGGGTGAGTGGACCACTGTGAAAGAGAGCACAGTGGCCATGAGAAAAATGACTGCCATTTCTTGTACCTCTGGCTTCTCATGCTGATATTGGTCCAAGCTTCAAAAACCTGCTTGAAGCCAGGCATGGTGGGGCACATCTGTAAACCCAGAACTTGGTAGGCTGAAGCAGGAGGATCACTGTGAATTTGAGGACTGTTAGGGAATTGATTATGTTAAAGTATTTTGTGATGCTGCCAGCACAGGCTGCATTCTCCTGGTGCTTCTTGGCTCTTAAAGACCTTATGCTCTTATCTCTAGTTTCCCTTCCCCCCAAGGCCACAGCAGTCTGTTTCTCCAGGACCAAACCGATAAAGGGCAACCTGGCCTGTGATAGGTTAAAAGTAGCCCACTCCTCACAAATAAGCAAGAGCCCAGCCCAAAACTGATAAAAGGACCTTCCTTTGTTCTTCCTTCCTCTCTTCTTCCTCCTCTGTCTCTGCTCTCTCTCTCTCTCTCTCTCTCTCTCTCTGCTCTTTCTCTCTTTTCTCTCCCTCTACTCCCACCCCTTGAATAAAATCTCCAGTCGGACCTCTCTCGGTGTGTGTGTGGCCTAGTTGTTGAGCCTCACAATTCTCTTTCAAGGACAGCCTGGGCTCAGGGGAGAGCAAGCCGAATCTTACAGAAGCAGAACCATGCTAGGTTAGTTGGGGTGGGTAGCACAAGGAAGTTTCACATGCACTAGGTAAACTACAAAACATTCAGCAGCTGTAGCAAGTTTACTGCCAACGAGGATGTGCGGGTTTTGGGTGCTTTGTTCAGGTGCAACACTTTGTTGAAATTCATGTACAAACAGGCAGTGATGCACAAGATGGAGTCAGGCTGGCTATTACAGGACTGCTTCTGTGTACTTTATGGGGTAGGGGATGGTAGACTAGCTGCCCTTCTGATTTGAGCAAATTGTGAATTAACTCATTTTAAAAATTTTTATAGATTTTTCTCTTGCTCCTTATCATGGGTGGGCAAATAAATTCTTACAGTCAGAGCCAAGATCCAGGCCTCTGAAAGGGATCTCAGTAATAATAATAATACATTTTTTTTCTTATTTTCCTCTCTGTCAGCTTTTTTTTCCTCCATTTTAAGACTCAAAGTTTTATTTTTTGACATTGGGGAAATAGTTTATCTTACAAATCGTGACATTATTAGAAGAAAAAAAAACTCCAATATTTTAAGAGCCCTCAATTTTCATCCTAATGAAAATTACAAAACAAAATAGTTGCCGCATTATTATGTAATTTATGTATAATCTTCACCTTGTGGGTAAAAATAGTGTTGCTGGCTAGTGTGGGTCCTTGCTTTTGTAGAAATGGAAACTAAACTAAAGCACAGATTTACAGGAAAGAAAAGCTTTAATTGGAAAGTTAGAAAGAAGATAGAAAAATGACTCCAGCTTAGATAGGTGTAGGAGGCACATTATGAAAAAGAAGTTCATACTGGCCCACTAGAAAATGTAGGAGACCAGCTTTCAAGAACTAGCTGGTTGGCCAGGGATTTAGCTCAGTGGTGCCAGGCCTGCCTCACAAGCACAAGGTCCTGAGTTTTATCCCAGGTACTGCAAAAAATGAAACAAAACAACAACAAAATCAACCCAAGATTCCATTTTTGCATTTTCTCATATTTTTTTTCCCTTTCCCTTATTCCCCTTCCCCTAAAAATGGAATCAAAGTCTTTGTAGGTGGGGAGGGGAAGAGGGGGTGAAGGGAGGGTGGGGACAAGGGGAAAAATGAGAACCAAGACCTGTCATGTAAAGGTACAAGATCCCAGCAATGAATGCAACTGTACTGTATACCTAGAGTGTACCAATGAATTCACTAAATAAAATTAAAAAAAAAAGAAAAAACAACCCAAGTATTAGCTGGTAGGCTGGGTCAGGTTGATCATTACCTTTGTTTTGTTTTGTTTTTTTTGAAACAGGGTCTCACTATGTAGTTGAGATTGACCTGGAACTCACTATGTAGCCAGGCTGGTCTCGAACTCACAGCTATCCTCCTGCCTCAGCCTCCTGAGTGCTGGGATTACAGGTGTGTGCCAGCATGCCCGGCTATGATTTTCGGGGGCGGGGGGGATTGAACTCAGCTCAGGTCCTTGCACTTGCAAGGCAAGCAGCGAAACCACTGAGCTAAATCCCCAGCCTGATCATTATCTTACTTATGGTGTCATAGTTCTGGAATATTTATGGCTGAGGAATAGATTTGCTTCCAGGAAAGAATTGTCTCTGTCTGTGATGGGCTCGATCATGTCCTCCTTTACTGGAATCCAGTTGATCACAGGTTTAGACAATGACTCTAGAGTTTTGGTGTAGCTGTTCTTGTAAACCTCTTATCTTGGTATCCTCAGACTTAAAAGGGGATAAGGTAATATAAATTTGGGGCTAATCAGTCCTGTCCAGACAACTCCTAGACACTGCCTAAATGATCAGAATATCCCTTTATAGAACTGAAAAGAGATTTGAAACAAGATTTACAGTAATGAATGATACCAGATGAAGTTCAAGCTTTGCTTTACTTCTAACTCTCCATTGGGCATGTGTTGGCTCAAGTGAAGAGTCATAGTTCACAGCAAAAAAGTCTTTAAAGACCCAGATTGCCATAGAAAAAACATAAATTGTCTGAGAAGGCAGACAGCCACTCCCTTCTACAGGACTCAGGTTGAGGCCCAACATGAGCTGTGTCACTTTGCCTTTTCTTTCTCAGCCAATACACCAAATGTTATGGAAGGAATTGGCAAGTGACAAACAGAGAGGCAGCAGAATGGAGATAAAATAACAAAAGTTTACTCCATTGGTGGGGGTCGATCACACATAAGCATTGCCTAGATCTATCGACACACTGGGTTACAACTGCTCCTTTTATAGGGTTTTACAGCCTTGACTTTATTTGCATGGTTACATTTCATTCTCATAGTTCAAATCATAGTCACAAACAGTTAACTTTCAACCCAGACGTAACAGTTCTTTGCAGTTGGGGAGTTTACCTTTAAGATTCACCTAGTTATCTATTCTAGTCCATAGAAAGCGGGTGTTCAGAGTCAGGGGAGCAAATGTTAGCAATGGGTTCTTTCATCTAGACACTCTTATGTTCATGTGGCTCCAGCCTCTTCTGAGCTCAAGGTCTTGATGTGCTATATTATCTCAGGGTAAGACCAAATGCCTCATTCAGCAATTAGTGGCTTCAGTGCCTATTAGTTCTGAGCTAAACAAAGCAAACTGCTGTTAGAGACAGCAGAAGCCATTTTACATTGTAACACTTTATAGGTTTTGCTATTTATAAAAGTTTTCCCTATCAATAGAAGATATAAACTGGCATTGGACAATACCAGCTTGATGAACAACTCTGGGAAACACCATGTGAAGCATTACGCTTATCCTGTAACCTAATACTTCTAGAAAAACATCTAGCCAAAGACACTCCCAGATGACAGCTATGCAGGTGGGCAGGCCCCAGCCAGAGGCACACACATACACCATCCCTTGTGTGCAAAGGCCCCACTCAGAACCCCCCACCAGACAATAGGACAGTGAGAGGATCCAGAAGGCCACCATTCTGAGCTCAGGAATTGGTGCAGTGGTAATTGCCACAACAAAGGCACAACAGGCTTCATCTGTTGATATGAGAAGACACATAAACAAGCCTCAAAATCAGACTGAAAAATTGGAATGACTTTTGTTTTTCAGATGTGAAGAGCATGATAACCTTGTTTGAAAGTGTGGTATTCTGGAGAGAAGAGAGCAGTCTACCAAAGGTTGGGATATGGTACATGAATGTACGGGCTTGGTTGTACCTGACTCTGAGACATGATATTGTGGGAAACAGACATTATTAAGGTAGAAGGAATCTAAGAGTTTTAGAACTATGAGATCAAGAGCTGTGATTTGACTTTGAGAGGCAATTTGGAAAAAGCATATTTTTAAGGAGGGTAAGGATTCACTTACAAGGAAAATAAGCAAGTTGTTTATATTTTGGAATCCTCTGAAAAAGCTTAAATAAGTTTTATAGATTCTTCAACCATGCTGAAAATTTCCAGTTCCTTAGGCTCAATGAATGATTGTCTTAGTCCAAGAGTGCCCTTTGAAAATAAGCCTCTATTTGTGGAAAAGACTTCAGATACAGATGCAAACACAGCCAAAAGGTGGAAACTAAAATACTGCAGAGTTCAGAAGGCTGTAAAACTATTTGACTTACCCAAAGCTACACCAAGTGATTCCAACAGAGTCTTTACCTAGTAAGAACCAAGTAGGGGCTTCTAATAAGGCATAAAATGCAAATTGGCAAAGCAGGCCCTTGGATAAGGACCTATTTTGGTTGCAGGACCCTGGCTGTGAGTCTTAGGCATTACCCAAGGGAATTTGCCCTAGAATTAAGTTTAATTAATTAATTTTATTCTATTCAAGGTTAAACCCAGGGCCTTTCCTCTGAGCTACATCATCAGCTCTCTCCCCCATTTTTTTAAATTTTGAGAATCTCACTAAGGCACTAAATTTACCAGGCTAGGCTTGAACATGATCCTCTTGACTCAGTCTTCCACTATGCTAGGATTACAGTTATATTTCACCATGCCTAGCTTGCCCTAGTATTTCAAATTGTCACTAAACAGTTATTCCTTTATATCTTTCAGTCTTACATCATAGTTTTAAATGAGGAGCAATGATCTGATTTATACCCTAAAATCTCTTTTGATTCAGAATATAACATACCCTCTAAGTAGCATGACAGCAGTCTAAAAGAAGAAACTAGTTCTGCAACAGGTTATTCATTGGTATCCTTTTGCCACTAAGATAACTTAAATCTCATTAGGGGTTTGTACTTCCAAACATTGGCCCAGGTATATCTTAGTAGCTTTTCTCACGAGGAGGCAATTGCAGCCCCTGCCTTCAGACATCTAGGCCATCCCAGTGCCATTGTGTCTAGGTACTTGGAAAAATAGAATACTGGCTAGAGAATATCTCCTAATTTTTTGGTAAGAACCCCTATTACTACCACTTATAATTCTGAGATATAAAGGGTGAAAGATTTTCCATATTGGGTAAACCTAGTCAGGAGCTTCAGCATGTTGGGTCTTTAGGGTATGGAAAGTCTGTTGGTAACTATTGCTCCATTCTAACTGTTTATTTCCTCTCCCTTTAGAATCTGACATAGAAGCCTGGCTATCAGACTAAATCAAGGTACCCAGACACAGCAGGAGCCAGCCTTTTCCAAAAAGGCTCTGAGCTATCTTTAAGTTTGGAGAGACTGTATCTCAAGAATCACCTTCTTCTTGTTGGGGACCAGTGTCTTCATACCTGATCCAAGGACATAGCCCAGGTACTTTAACTCTTGGGAGGAAACCTAGGCTTTCTCAGGTAACACTCAATATCTTTGCTGAGCTGGACATTTAGAACCTGAAGAGTATTTTTATCAGAATTTTCCTTAGGGTGACTAGGAATGAGAAGATCATCTACATATTGGAGGAAGGAACCATGAGGTAAGTGAAGCACCCTCATTTCGTGGACCAGAGCATTTCCAAAGTGATGGGGATTGCCATTAAATTCCTAGATAAGCAGAGTCCAAATCAATTGAGTGATTTCTCTTGTTGAAGGACCAGTCCAGTCAGAGCCATGGTTCTCCTCAGACCCTGTGAGTCTTTTGCTTTCCTGGCCATCAAAGGTTCAGGCTTCCCCAGGTTGCTGTGAAATCTGGGACATTCCTTCTTCTAGTAACCTTCTTGCTTAAAGAAAGCACATTACTTTTTACATGGGGCTGGTGATTTGGAAGCTGTAGCCTAAGGCTGGGCTCTAGTCCCACTAAGATACCACTGTGTGTGTAGCCATGATGCAACAGGGAGCCTAATGCTGCGGCTAAGATCCCAACTTTTTTTTTTACTCATCCTCATCCTCTCTGCTGCCTTTGCAGCCTCCTTCTTATTAAAGACATTAAAAGCTATTTCCATGAATTGGTTGATGGGTATCTGTGGACCAGCTGCCATCTCTTGTAATTTCCTTCATACGTCCAGGGTTGACTGGGAAATGGAATACATAGCTAGGAGGACCTATCCTTCTGAGCTGTTTGGGTCCAAGTTAGCATGTTATCTAATAACCTCCACCAATTGTCCCTGAAATACTGCAGGATTTTCTCCTGTCTCTTGGGTCACTTCTAAGACCTTGTCATGAAGAGCGGGTTTATTAGAACATATTTGATCCCTTCTACAAAGCAAGTTCTCATATGATGACAGTACTTCCTATCTTTGGAGTCTTCCTGATAATTACACTCAGGATCATTCTGTGGCACTGCAATGCTTCGTATGTGGTAAGCATTAAGGATTATATTTCAGGTGGCCACAGAATCTGTGTACTCTCATGAAATGAAAATGTACATCTACCATGAAATAGTGAGAGAAGTATTTGAAGATCACCCCAGGTCAGATCCAAGGTCATGCCAGCCCTGTTGAATTCCTCTGTAAAGTGACCAGGATCCTCAAACAATCAGCCAAACCCTCTTTACAAATGCTTAAGTCTGAGACAGAGAAAGTCACATGTATTCTGATGGCTGCCCCCACTTCCTGGAAGGGTCAAAGTCATGGGTAGAATTGGTAGGAACTTCCTGATTGTGTCAGGCTTAGTCCTCTGGCATGGAGGGGTACAGGATGGAGCAGTAGTATATAGCAGCAGTGACCCATGCAGTGTCAGAATTCCAGGTACCTTAAGACTAGGAGTGACCAGTTACCAGAGAGTCTGATAATATGGAGAGGAAAAGGCATTCTGAGGACCAATGGAAACCCATCTGATTTTATAGAACTGTCAGTGGATTTGACAGGTCTGGAGCCATTTTCAGCCCCTCCTTGAAGTCCAGTTCCTCACTGGGGTTAAGGAACACTACATAAACCTGGCAGGCTTTCTTTAATTCCTTATCCTGGTCATTAGGGACTGACATGAGGGACTCCAACCCATTTGGCTATCTTCTTACAAAACAAATCTAAAAATAAAATCATGTTGTAACTAAAGGATCTGTATTTTGGCCATCTTTCCTGACCTATATTACAGAAAGAAATCAGCTTCTTTTTCTGTAAACTTCTTGTAAATTTGCGCCCGTTTGCCAGAGATATCTTAATGGTAAGTCCTTTAGTATGTGCTCTGTGGCTACCATAATATGGTAGGATCTTACTAGAAGGTGGAGTTTTGCAAAGTGGCAAAGAGGCCCTGAACTTGCATAGCTTGATATTTCCATTTGACTACTAGATGGAAAAAGAGTGCTGTTGAAGCCCAATCCCAAAAGGAAAAAATTTCCTTTTCCCTTAATGCCTCTAATAAAGTCACAATATGAAACAATTGAGCTGACTCACCACACACCTCAGGCCTCCAAAATCTGCCCCACAAATTAGGTGTTTAAGGAAGAAGGCACTGCCAGAACATGAAAGCTGTGGTGGATCCCAGTGGGTCCAATGAGGGTAGCTATTTTCAGCAAAGTGATTCACGAAGATAGTCAGCCTACAGAATCAACTGAAGCCGGGGTTGTGGACTGGGGTGTACTTGATGAAGACAATTATAGAAGTTCTTAAAAGCACAGGCATACATGAGTTGAGCTGCTCATTCAAATTATCTGAGAACCTATATTTCTAACCCAAGCAAAAGAGAGGGAATTGACCTTCACTGACCCTGAGTGAAAAGATAATGGATAGCATTAGGTTTTCATAGAAACCTTGGAATCTCTGTTTCTTAAGGAAAAAGAAAATTATGGATCATCAAAAGGAGGGCTTCCTGAGTAGTGGGAATGTAGAGATGGCACAGAGCAGACAGTGCCTAGAGAAATGAGAAAATCTGAGAAATTTGGATACCCCATCCAATAATAGATCTGTCTCAAACCTAGGGGATTTTAGGAAAAGAACCAACCCTTCTCCAAACCAATGACTGATTCAAATCAGCAGCTAATCAGGACAACGATCTAGGCCCTAGAATTCTGATTAGTAAGTCCCAATAAATCCTTCCCTGGCATCCAAGGGGACAAAACAACAGAAAGGTCAAAGGGATAGGAAAGAAGGGGTATTTTAGGAAAAGAACCTCTCCAAACGAACTTCCAGAGCAAAAGAACTAACGAGGACAAAAAACTGAGCCCTGAAATTTCTGATTAGTAAAGTACTGACTGATTCTCTGGTGTCCTAAGGAAATTTAACATGGAGCTGTGAGAGGAAGGAAAAAAAAAAAAAGATAGACTGATTGTTGGGCTGACTTTCCCTTTCCAGACTCACCCAAACACTGGGCCTATTCTCAGTCAGTCACAGGAAGTGAGGAATATTAGAGCAGGCCAGAACAGCCCCATGTTGGGTGTCAAAATCTGTCACCAGGTCCTTGCTTTTAGTAATAATGGAAATTAAAATTAAAGCACAAATCTATGGGGTGCTTTAATTGAAAAGATAGAAATGGACTCCAGTTAGGTAGCTGAAGGGGGTACATGCTGATACAGGATTCAGACTGGCACAAAGTCAAGTGGCCAGGTTTTAAGGATTAGCTGGTGGCTGAGAGTCTGGTTGACTATTATCTTAGTTCTGGTGTCATAGCTCTGGAATCCTATTGGCTGAGGGGTGTCTTGTTTCAGGCAATCACCAGTTCAACAATGGCTGGAGAATTCTAGGCATAGTAGACTGTCCCCGGGAAACCCCTCCCCTCATCCTGGTATCTTCAAGCTTTAATGAGTTGGGAATATATAAATTTAGGGCTAATAAGCCTCTTTTTGGCCAATATTTAGACAGTCACTTCCTAAATAATTGACGTGTCTCTATGCAGAGGTCAGAAGAGATTTGACCCAAGAATTAAAAACAAGTAACAAAGGATACAAAATGAAAGTCAAACATTGTTCTGCTTTTTGTGATTTATTTGGTATCTATAGGCCCAACTGAAGAGTGATAGCAAAAATGACATTTTTTTGGGGGGGGGGTTTTGAGACAGGGTCTCACTATGTAGTTGAGACTGACCTGGAACTCACTATGTAGCCCAGGCTGGTCTTGAACTCACAGAGATCCTCCTGCCTCAGCCTCCCGAGTGCTGGGATTACAGGCATGCGCCACCATGCCCGGCTAGCAAAAATGACTTTTAAGTCCCTGGCTATCCCAGGAGAAAACACGAGTCATGCTTCTAATGTGGCCCAGGAAGTCTGACCATTTTCCCATTCCCGTGGTGATCCCTGTCAATGCTACGAGTCTGCCAGAGTGGTGCCATTCATCAAGGTGGGGAAAGCCGGCAGAGGGGATTTCTGAGTGGTAGGAATTCAGTGTTTCATTTTACATACGTTAATATTAAAGATGTCCATTAGATATTCAAGCAGAGATGTCATCTAATGTGTTGGTAAAGACATACTCCGTGCTGAAGGTGAACATGAGTCATGTTAATGTTATTAAAGGCCACGGAATCAAAAGCGATCAACTAAGGCACAGGTGCCAGCAGAGATGAGACAGGGATGTGGATGAAGGCATGAGGGCTCCCAGCATTTAAAGGTCAGAGAGAGGAGAATGAACCAGCAGAAGTGATGACAAAGGGCACAGAGAGGTTGCAGGGGAGCTGGTGAGAACAGCATCATGAAAGCTGAGGGAAGGCAATGTCTCCACAGCTACCGTCCTTACTGACAGATCAGGGTTACTATCGCAAGATGGGAAAACTGGATTTAGCTACACATACACTTTTGGGAATGGCAAGGAAAGAAAATTGAATAGACTAGGGCAAGAAGATAAGGGACAAGAAACATTCATATTTCTTAGGCTGGATGAGACACCTGAGTGTTGCTTACTGTAGCTTTTTTTTTTTTGTATGCCTGTAGAATTTCACAAAGGAATAGTCAGAAGAGAATGTATCACTTATTCTAATTGTTTTTGAGTTTATGAAATGCCAAAGGTGTGAATTAATTTAAAATATTGTGATATGAGTCATATATGATATTAAACAAGACGAGAAACAAAGGAAAAGAAGTAAAGGGGGCGATGGAGAGTGATAGAGGGAGAGCAGGTAGTGATATGGAAAAAATAGTTATTGTCATCTCTGGGACAGAAAAATAAGTGTGAGGTCTAGGAGGCTTAGGAATTGATGTTTTTTACAAGGAGTAAGAGTGCAGAGCTGGAATAACTGTGCCAGAGAAAAGTACCACATTAAGGATGTCACTGCACATGACTGGGTTTCCACTTTGAAGGTGATGGTGATTGTCTCTCACCTTCAGAGAGTTGGCATATGAGCTTCATGATTCACCTTTACCAGCCCTGAGAGCATAGAATGTGTTAATGCCTCCAGATAGTCCAAAAGAGGTAAGAAAGGAGACGAAAAGGAACAAAAACAGGAGACAGAGACAGTGGATGTATTCATATATAATCAATAAGCACAAGAAGTAGATTTTAATGCCAAATTCATTACAAGAGATATATCAGGGCATCTCATGATATTACAAAGTTCAACCCAGCTCAAAATAGACATGCTGTATAACAGAGATTCAGAATCCATGCAGCAATGATCCTCTCTCAAGCAGTTGGCAGAATAACTGCATGAAAGTCCAGCAAAATGAGAAATCTCAAATGCAGTATTGGGGCCAGGGGTTTAGCTCAGTGGTTCTGCTGCCTGCCTCGCAAGCTTGAGGACCCGAGTTTGATCCCCGGTACCAAAAAACCAAAAAAAAAAGGAAACAAACAAACAAAAAATCAAATGCAGTATTAGCATCCTGGTTTACTCTACACTTACATTAATGGTGAGATTACAAAAATAAGAGTGCAGAGGTGGAACAGCAGGGTTAAAAAAGAGGAAGTATACTGAGAAAGCTGATGCCCATAGTACAATGGAAAGAGGGATGAAGATGGATCCAGGCCTCCATGACGAAGCCTTTTCAAGGCCCTGGGATAAAAAGTGGGTGGTCCACGACCTTCCACAGATTACCTCCTCACTCTGAACCTTGACTTTCCTATCAGTAAAGTTAATGGTACTGATATCACCTATTAAAAAATAATATATAAGATGATTAATAAAAGGCAAACTAGCATATTAAATATTCACAACATGCCCATTATTGTTATAGAATCAAAAAGCCACCGTTTGCTGTCTAGCAAAGTCTTAGGGGATTTAAAAAGTGGTTTGATCAAAACGTGGACATCAGTCTGCTGTGGAAACATGGACTTGCCCAAACTTCGCTCAGAACTGTTTCTAAACATTTCTTCTTCCTTTCTGTCTGTTTTTGTCCTAATACCTGAGTGAATTCATGATCCTTTTATTATGTCAGAGTGGCCCTAAGCACTCCATCCAAACCTCAAAAACTGAAAATTGTTGGCATTTAATATTCCACACAGAAAGCCTACATTTTCTTCTTCTCACACCTCACCTTGGCTCTCACAGTCCTGGGATGGACTCCCAGCCACAACCTCCAGTCCCTCTAATACACTCTAGTTTCCTAATACACTTGCCAGCTATTACTGCACTACCTGGGATGGTGCTGGGTAAAGAAAAAGGTTAAGTTTGAATTTTCCACTTTTCTCCGTTGTTAGGAATCTTTATGATTATTTATACTATTCTACAGCACTTAAAGCAAAACTAAATTTAGCAAAGGGTCTTGCTTTTTAAAAGAAACTATGATGAGCTGGGTGTGGTGGTGTATATCTATAATCCCGGCACAAAGAAGTCTGAGGCACAAGTTTGAGCAGCCTAAACTACACAGTAAGTTCAAGACAAGCTTTAGCTCCATGGCAAGACCCTGTCCAAAAAAAAAAATAAGCTGGGTTTTAGCTCAGTGGTGCTGCTGCCTGCCTTTCAAGTGAAAGGTCCCAAGTTCAATCCCTAGTACAAAACAAAAGGCAAACAAACAGCAACAACAAAAAACTTCGGTGAAAACTTCTGAGCTACAAACCTTTTCTCTATAATTGGCACTCCTGTATTTCTTCAGAGAGGAACAATCAATAAAAGGTAATTAAAATAAAGCAAATTGCCCCTTTCAGATCTGCCTTTAGTCTGTATCCCAAAAGAAGATTTTTTTTTGCTCTTCTAAGAAACAAGGTACAGGTACATACTAAAGTAATGAGGCAAACTTAAAAAAAGATTTTCCAAAATTCTCCTAGAGAAATATAACACGTCATCATTACTAAGTACTCGTGAAAACAGGAGCAGTGATGTAATGGCTTGTATCTAGATGTTCTCCGAAAGCCTCAGCAGTCATAGGTGGTGCTTTTCCAAAGTGGCTGGACCCAGGGAGTGTGATGCTAAAATACAAAATGGGATTTTAGGATTAAGGGTGTGAGTGCTACCCATCCTGGTGGGTAGTCTGGATAAGATATAAGGGACATTGTCAATTATATCATATGTTTATAAATGGGGAGGTAAGGGGGGATGAAGGGAGGGCAGGGACAAGGGGAAAAAATGAGAACCAAGACCTCTCATGTAAAGGTACAAGATCCCAATTATGAATGTAATTGTACTGTGTATCTAAAATGTACCAATAAACTCAATGGAAAAAAATAAGATATAAGGGACAGAAAGAGGATCATCACTTGTCACTTCTTTGCTGCTTGCCACGTTCTGCCTGCCCTCCTTTGTGATACCTTTCTGTCATGCCATCCTGCCTTACAGCCAGCCAACTATGAACTGAAACCCCAATGAACTGTGAGTTAAGCAAAACTTTCCTCCTTTAACTTTGGATGTTGGGTATTTTGCCTCAGCCATGAGAAAAGTAACTAAGACAAGTGAAAACTGCTACTTTGGCTTGCAAGAAACCAAAGGAAAGAACTTTGCCACACTAAATTCACATAACACAGAAAACTCTTGGGAATGTTCTCACAATGGTGTTTTGAAGCCCATGTTGAAGGACAGGAGAAACTGAACAGTGCTTATTCCTCAAAACCTCCCCTCCTGAGGGCTTGTGCCTTGCATCCCACAGTCTTATCTTCATGTCTTTGCTTTAAGATTTTATTGTATTTTTTTTTAACAATGCCAAAAGTTTATTTGAAAAGTGAGGGGTGAAGGGGTGTGAGAGAAACCTGCTCTGCAAAGTGAACTTGGGCAGAACAAGAGAAAAGGAAGATATAAGCAAAAATCAAAGTAAATGCTACATCTGGGAAATGCAGCATGGGATGCCATGAGAAGTCATGATAGCCTGCTTTAAGATTTTAATTCCCCAGGGCTGGGGATTTAGCTCAATGGTTCCACCATCTGCTTTGCAAGTGCAAGGTCTCAAGTTTGATCCCCGGTACCAAAGAGCCAAAAAACAAAGACTTTAATTCCCTAAACACACTCACAAAAACTATGGACTTCTTAAAGGAAACTCAAAAAACTGATCACAGAATGGTAGTTCTGTGGTAGTTTTAAGGTGGGATTTACTGAAAGATCAGAAGTTACAACTACAGCTTTGTTTTGTTTTGTTGGTACCTGGGATTGAACTTGGGTCCTTGAGCTTGTGAGGCAGGTGGGTGGGTGGGTGGAACCACTGAGCTAAATCCAGACCTATAACTATAGCTTTGAAGACAGGTTCAGAAATAAAAAAATATAGGTTTAGGAGAAATATAAAATTTAAATTATTTAAAATTGATTTTATTTCAGTATTAATTGATTTCATTCAATTAATTTTGTTAAATTTAATTTAACATTATGCCCCATTTCTTCAAGAAAAGTGGCCTACTAAGGGCAGCAGCAGCACTAAGGTTGCTAAGCATCTGGCAGTCTCCTGTCCTGGGAGGAGCCCTCAGCCAACAACTGAATAGTGGCAGGACACTCACTCTGCCCCTGGTCCTTAAGATGAACAAGTCCTGCAGTATCTTTGGGAGGCCTCATAGAACTGAGTCTCAGTGGCCAGAAATGGCAGCATCTTTCCTTGGCAGACCAGTTTTGCCTTTTTCATTCTCCACCTCACTTTCCAAATCATACTGGTGTCCCCTGGGTCACCTCCCCAGTGAAGTGCAGTCTGCTCCTAGACAAAGTTTGTTGATATTGCAAAGAATAAAATCAACACACAGGATACTCTCATAGCAGACTCAGGTTTGAAAAGTACCCCATCCCCTGTCTGCTTCCAGGCAAAGCCAGATAGAAAAACTGTGAAGTCTCAAACATAGCTTGTGCTGCTGTGGTGGAGTCTCCGGATGGCCTATGCCTATGATGATTGCAATATCATTATTAGCTCAGATGGACATGAAGAAAGTCTATGGGATAGCAGGAGGGTGGTCTGTAGTCAGACTGCAGGCATTTCCTAGCACAGAGGTCAGGAAGGAAGGCTGTGGAGTGGGGATGGAGTATTCCTATTAGGGTAAGGCAAATATAGCCTCCACATGACAGCCAGCCTTCTCACAGAGGTGAGGCAATTAGCATGGCACATGAGGTAGTCAGCAGTGGTGCCACAATGTGACCTTGCTGCCCAGTGGTCCCATGGGATGATAATGTGCAAAAAAGGGTAGTGAGGGTGAGGAACAGAGAGGAGATGTGTATGAAATTTAGAGACGCAATGGGCAGAATCAGTGGGACTAAGACTGTGACATCAGCCCAAGGTCCTTGTCTGAAAAAATAAAGATGTTTGCTCTCATAGGGAATGTGAGATGTTTGCAGCTGCTCTCTTCTGGGCATTGTGCTCCAATTCTTGCCTTCTAGTTTTTTTGGTCTTTTTATTGCTCTTCACCATCTGTTCCCCAAAGTCAAAGAACATTCATGTGCAGACGAGGATTTTCTTATGGTGAGGTCAAACAGACAGAAGACTGTAAATATTTTATACTTTCCAGTATTTTTTTGAGAATATTAAGAATTCAGACCAAGATTTGACAATTAATCATTGATAGGATGCTTTGCTGAGTGAAACACTTACCTTGGAAAAAGATGGAAGAGCTTGAATAAATTCAGATCTGGGATTTCAAAGTGCTGCCACATCATTTAAGTAAGTATGGTTAACTCACCTACCCAGTATCAGAAATTGTAAATGCCACCCATTGGTTATTTTCTTCTCTTAATTTTTTTGAAAAAGAAATCATTCAGAAAAGTTGTCAGTAAAAAACTTTTTTTTTTCAACATCACCTGGGAATAAGCCACTGATAAAATGCCACAATATTTTCACATACTTTAGTGTGTATTTCCTACCAGGGAGGATATCATTCTACTTTTATAAGCAGTATTGTGACCCTCCTCCACCCCAACAAATTCATATGTTGATGTCCCAACCTCCAGTTTCTCAGAATGTGACTGTATTTAGAGACTGCGTGTTAAGATTTTAAGATAAAATGAAGTAATTAAGAGGACCCTAATCTTGTATGATAGATGTCCTTACAGGGAGAGGATATTTGGACACACACAAGGATAACCATGTGAGGATGGCTGTCTACAAGACAAAGAGAGAGGCCTTAAAAGGAACCAATCTGCCAATACCTTGATATTGGAATTCTGGTCACCACAACTGAGATAATAAATTTCTGTAGTTTAAGCCACCCAGTCCATGTGATTTTTTTCTTTTATTGAGTTTATTAGTACATTTTAGGTATACAGTACAATTACATTCATTATTGGGATCTTGTACTTTTACATGACAGGTCTTAGTTCTCATATTTTTTCCCCTTGTCTGTGCCCTCCCTTCACTGCCTCCTCCCCTCCCTATTTACAAACACTTTATTTCCATTTTTTCATATTTTTTCTTTTCCCTTATTACATTTCCCCTACCCTTCCCACTTTCCCTACAACTTTAGCCCTTTTCTTCCTATTTTACATGTCAATTATCTCATTAGGATCTTATGTACTATTATAGTTTTTCACACCAGAGAAACTATTTGGTATTTACACATGTGTGAGCTCAAAGAGGATATAAGAAAATGGAAAGACTTCCCCTGCTCCTGGGTAGGAAGAATCAGCATAATGAAACTGACCATACTACCAAAACTGCTATACAGATTCAACGCAATGCCAGTCGAAATTCCAACAGTATATTTCACAGAACTAGAAAAAAGAATCCAAAGTTTCATTCGGAACCATAAGAGACCTAGAATAGCAAAAGCCATCCTAGGCAACAGACACATGGCAGCAGGTATAACAATTTCCAATTTGAAACTATACTACAAAGCCACTGTGATTAAAACAGCACTGTACTGGCAAAGAAACAGACCTGAGGATCAGTGGAAAAGACTGGAAGACATGAAAACAACTCTAGATGTACTCAGCTACCTCATCTTTGACAAAGGAGCTGACCATCCCCACTGGGGGAAATATATCCTCTTTAATAAAGGGTATTGGAAAAACTGGATCTCAACCTGCCAAAGATTAAAACTAGACCCTTGTCTTTCACCATGCACTAAATTAAAATCCAAGTGGATTAAAGATCTAAAATTAAAACAGAAACACTAAATTTGCTGGAAGATAAGTTAGGCAGAACTCTGGAAGACATTGGCATAGGAAAAGACTTTATGAACAAATCCTCAGTAGCACAGGAACTAGCAGAAAAAATCAATAACTGGGATCTCATCTTATTAAAAAGCTTCTGCACTGCAAAAGAAACCATCAACAGAACTAAGAGACAACCTACAATGTGGGAAAAACTTTTTACCAGCTGCTTCTCAGACAAAGGACTATTATCTAGAATATATAAAGAATGCAAAATAATCAGCCCCCCAAATATAAAGACCCGATTCAAAAATGGGCATCTGAAATGAACAGACATTTCTCAGACAAACAAGTAAAAGCAGCAAGTAAATGTATGAAAAAGTGTCCCACATCACTGGTCATTTGAGAGATGCAGATGAAAACAACACTGAGATTCCACCTCACCCCACAAAGAATGGCTGCTATCAAGAAATCAACCAATAACATACGTTGGCAGGGTTGTGGGGAGAAAGAAACCCTTCTCCATTGTTGGTGGGAGTGCAGACTGGTGCAACCACTATGAAAATCAATATGGAGATACCTCAAAGAACTAGGATTAGAGGTTCTATTTGACCCAGCCATCCCTCTGCTGGGTATCTTTCCAAAAGAATTACAAGAATCATACCACAGTGATATATGTGAACCAATGTTTATAGCGGCACAGTTTGTAATAGGTAAAACTTGGAAACAGCCCATTTGCTCATCAGTTGGAAACTGGATAAAGAAGATGTGTTTTTCCTATAAAATGGAATATTACTCAGCCAGAAAGAATGAGAAATTAGATTTATTCATAGGAAAATGGATACATATTGAGGATATACTCCTAAGTGAAATAAATAAGTCCATGTGATTTTGTTAGAGCAGACTTAGCAAATTTATACATCCACATTACCACATTCCAGCCTTCAGAATCAAGTAATTGACACTGATTCTTTCCTACTATCTTGACCTTTGACTCCCTGCAATTTTGCCTGTGGTTTTAATATTATCTGTTAACATAAAAAAATCCAGTTCAGAATCAAGTATTACATTTGGTTGTCATGTCTCTTTGATCTCTTTCAATCTGACTCTCAGTTTTATTTTTCCTTGACTGTTATGACCTGGATTTTTTTGAACATTATAGGACAATTATTTAATAGACTATCCCTTGAGTTGGGCATGTGTAATATTATTCATCATTGGCAGGTATCTTAGTTACTTTCTTCTTGCTCTTCAAAATATCTGACACCTACACATTAAACAAGGAACAGTTTATTTTAGCTCACATTTTATAGAAGTTTCAATCTATAGTTGGCTGGCTCCAAGGTAGAGTGATATGGCAGAGAGGCAGAGGAGAAACAGTCCATGGCAGTGGATGCAGGAAGCAATAAGCCTGTCTTCTTCAGCTACAAGCTGATATTTCATCCAGGCTACAAGTTTATTGATTGGTGCCACCCATACCCAGGGTGGGACTTTCCTCTTCAGTAAATCCACTCAGCCACACCCAGAACTGTGCTAATCCAATTAGGGGAATAATCTAGATACCACACAGCCTTAATCCATATTCACACACCCTAGATTGAGCCATGCTGAAAAGCCCCCCTATGAACACATGAGGCTCTCAGGGAGACATCTAAATATAAGCCATAACAAGGGCATCTCCAACATAAGCCATAACAAAGGGCACACTAGAGACATCAACAGAACATACTGGAGCAATGCTGTGTTTGAAGTCTCCTACTTGTGGTTCCAGGAGTCATCATCTCTTCCAGTAACCTGCCTGTCCATCAGCCACAATGAAAACGAGCCATAAACATCTCCTGGTAGCTTGATATCCACCTGACACCACGCAGCCCTTCACAAGGCTGAAGTATATGTGCCTATTCAGTGGGCCATATTCTTGATTTCATGAAATATGTCATTTATGTTACAGAGAAAAATATATACTAACTTTTGCTTATCAATCAAGTTATCTTTACCACTATCCTTTCCACTACCACAAGTTTTAGAGAAAGTGTGTATGTCCTTAGTTGCCTTCATATATGACAAGGTCTTTTCTAGCTTAAAATCCTTTTCTCGGCTCTCCCAACTCCTTCTGTGTTCTGTTTATTGTAATTTCTCCTTGCAGTTGGCTCTCATCAGGGATCTGGTATTACACCAGCTGATGTGAACTCCCTGACCACCTTCCCTCACTGCAATGCCCTCTGCTCCACGAAAGCATTTCTTTGATAAGCCCCAGTGACTTTCCTCTCATCCCACTGGAAGGATTTCAAGGATGATAACACATGCGCAGCTGTAACCAATAGAATAACAATGTCTGCTGCAACATCTCTTGAAGGACTTGCCCGAGACTCTTTTATAGTTAACTTTGTTTATGGATAAGATTATCCTCTAAAAAATGATAAAAAGTACAGTAAATACAAAAACACTTATCATCATTACTAAGTATGATGTACCACCCACATATGCTGCACTTTTATACGACTGGCAGTGCATGTGGCATCAGACAGGTAAGTAATGTATTACACTGTAATATGACAAACCCTGTAGTATCACAACAGCTAAGCTATCACAGGACAACTGTCATATACATGGTCTATCATGAGGAGAGGCACTGCAGTGGAGAGTAGCACTAACTTCAGCAGTCCATGTTCACTGAGCTTGTTTGTTTCAGCCCTCAGGTTCAGGTGGATATATGTTTTGGATATGTGTGCCTCCAACCCTCACCATCCAGGACTCAGAGGGGTTGAGAGCAATTGGCTCTATCTAGCTTTAAAGCAGGGTCCCTGATGACTCAATTAATTATAATAGCTTCAATAATCTGTGAATAATAGCCTATCTTAATTTTCAAGGTACTCTTAAGATTTCTTGGAGCTGGGCATGGTGGTGCATGCCTGAAATTCTAGCACTCGGGAGGCTGAGGCAGGGAGGATCCCTGTGAGTTTGAGACCAGCCTGGGCTACATAGTGAGTTCCAGGTCAGTCTCAACTACATAGTGAGACCCTGCCTCAAACTGCCCCCCCCAAACAAAACAAAACACAACAACAACAAAAAAAAGATTTCTTGGAAGACTTCTTTCCATGAAAAGGGGGAATGTAGGCCACCGAATAAGTGGCATCTTTAATTTCCTACCACCATGCATAGACAGAAAACTGCAGGAGGTGGCACTTCTCTCCCTCGCACTCACAGGATGGTCTCATGTCCAGAACAGGGTAAAAAAGATGACAAGGGTCTTGACCTTCACCTCTGCTACACATCAGAGACCGCGGAGTTCATGCTCCCTCCAGTGGGAAAACAATCACAGTGCAGGACAGAACAGGATTCCTATAAGGAAAATCTTAGTCATGATCAAGGTCAGTGGAAGATAAAATAATAGTGAAAGAAAATGTTATACAGAATACAATGTGTGAAAAAGGATTTCGTAGCAAACCATCTCTCCTTCCCAGTGGTAAATCCAGAGCATAACTTTTAAAACACAGTTAAGCTCGATAACAAGGTTTCAAAAGCTATGCAGAAAAGCTTTAATGCCTCTCCAGATAGTTCTGCTCAATGTAATTCAAACAAGACACATTTGAATAGCATTTTTAAAATCCTTCAAAGCCAGGGATTTATTTCCTTTTCCCTCTTTTTGTTTTGGAAGGTATTTTGACCAAAAGACAGAATCTAATTAAGCTAAGCCCTTTAAGCACATTAAACAATTCAATCATCTTTCTCAAAATATGCTTAAATTTGAAGGGTGATCTTCTGTGAATCATAATGAACTATTAGTTTCTACGAATATTTCCTCATAATGTCATAGTTTACATGAAAAACCAGAGTACAAAGTCCATTTCAAGTAAACAGAAAAATCACACTTCTGGTATTTTTCTCTGGCAATGATGTCAAAAGGAATTCATGGGGATTTCAGTAAAAGGCATTAAGATGAACAAAGACCTGAGTTCTATTTTTGAATAGGAAGCACATCACATTTTAACCTTAGCAGATGGGTGACCGGATGGTATTGTAATGAATTCCTTTGGTTGATTCTTTTTCTTTTCTTTTCTTTTTTCCAGTACTGAACTACATTCCCAGCTCTTTACATTTCCCCCGCTTTTCTGGTAGAGGATCTTACTAACCCTCT